GTCACTCGGCTTTGACTTGCCGAGTTTACGCGGTCGACAACCGATCTACAACCCTCAGACGAAAGGGATACGGTACTGTGAAACAGTGTCGCAGGACCGTATGATGAATCAATGAAACCATGAGCCATGGGTCTACTTCGATGTATTTCCAGACAGGGGCCGCTTGGCACCGATCGACGAAGAATACAGAACACTTCCCGCAACTTTATCTTGCATTCGCAGGGGATCGCTTCCGGACTGCGGACGCTCCCCCCACTCCCGACCCGATCCCGATTGGGGACAACATAGTAGCCCAAGTTCCGAAACTCGGACCATTCATCAAAGCGGAATCCTCGCAGCAGTGCCTCTCAGACAGAATCGGACTTCGAATTTCCGATGTCTTCCGTACATCTCCGGGGGGAGAAACATCGACGAACATCGATTTCCGAGCGACGGGTTTTCCGATAGCGCGCACAATCGAAGTACCGTTAATTTCAGCATCAGCGAAACTCACCTGTTAGACTTCCTGAAGTGATGGGACTCTCTCTTCAGCTTAACATTTTGTCGAACTGCTGTATCCAGCGGCACTTATTTAATTTTCATCCACGGCAAAATATATCCACAGTTGTAGAAATCCGAAGGCTCGTTGCAAGAATATTCCACACTGTCTTCGCTCTAACCCAAAAACCAAATCGACGTCTTCGGCACTTCACTTCACTGTCGGCTGGCTGGATAGACGGCGGGCAGGCGGGCGGGCGAGCTGGTTGGCTGACTGACTGGCTGGCTGGCTTCGGGCAGCAAGCGGTCCGCTCAGCGCTTTCTTATGCTCCTTCTTCCCGGCTGGTCGACTGCTGGATCGTCGACGAAGAACGAACGCACACGTGGTAAGGAGGTCGAAGTCGAAGGCAAGGGATAGCAAAAGAAGGGCAAAGCAAGTCGTCGCAACAAATGTGTACGCCGACAGCCGATAGAAGTCCACATCTGAGAGAACACACAGATTGGTCTGGCGAGGCCGTCAGATCTCAGAGAAAAAAATCCTCCACCTCACCTCGGACAAGTTCGGCGCACCTGATTCTCAAAAGATTGCAGTCATCCATCAATCAGAGGAGGCATACAGAGCTTCTTTTCAGAGCCCAGAGCCCTCACCCGGAGTGAAAGTCAAAGAATCTTCCCTCAGGTGAGTACACTCAGGAGAGAAGAAGGGTTGGTCTCTAGCGTCAAACATCGAAGTTTGATTTCTGCGGGGATCTCGTCACTCATGCACAAGCTGACTGATGGATGGGTTGTCCGGTCGATCCGAGAATTCGTCGACTGGCAGATCATCGTTTCGCTGAGGGGCGGACGTCGAGGTCTGAGTTTCGGAGCCAGAGCACGTGTTTCCCTGAGTGAGCGAAATAGCTCGGTGCCTATTTTATTATCTGCTCAGGAGTTTACCCATATAAAATAAGTACGCTCATCTTCATATCCTCTGTATTGAATCGAGCTGTGCCTTTCGAACTATTGAAAAATTAGGGTGGGGCTTCTTCAAGAGACATTCTTATGAAACGTCTCACCACAGCATCACAGGACCTTATGCATGCGAATGGTTTGACCGGAGAAGGATCAGCCTAGGGAAGAATATGATTCAAGATACCAGGGCTCCGGATCGATGTGCATATATGTCTCTTCCTAAATATTTTATGGCAGGCAGTCATTTGCGATTCGAGACTATTTATTGGCCTTATCTAAAAGTGCTTGGCTCGCGTTTTTTTAGCGCTGCAAATTTTCGCAGAACCAAAAGCGAAAGAGAGATCAAATGCGTCAGTCGTCAGTTGATTCCCGAGAATGACAGGACGAAGAAAAGTTTCGCGATTACACGAAATGAGTCGCTGGTACGAACGTACGAACTGAAACGACGTTGTGTCGACGTCAGAAGGCAATTAATGAATCTCGTTGTTCCCGGTTTTTCCGCTCGAAGCGAGAGGCTATGCAGCCAAACGAGCATACGTACACAAACATGAATGCCTGAGCGCGTGAATGCGGCCAAGCAAAGCGCTCGCTCCTGCCACCGACCGACCGACGGAGCGAAGGGTGCGCGCCCTGCAGCTCTCGGTGAGATTGTGACCGTGGTCGCCGCCGGGCCGCCGCAACGTGAAGCCGCTGCTCACACTTAACGTGGTGCAGGGCGCCGTCCGGAAGAAAAACGTACGAGAGTCAACGTTAACTTTCTAATTAGTTGCTCGTGAAAAGTGAGAGTCATCTTCGCGTCCACGCGTAACGGCACCGACGACCGACGGTGTCTGTTACGAGGAGTGACCGCATCGCGAAGACAATGCCTGCCCGACGGCTGCTCGGACTATATGGGTACTTGTTGGCTTCTGGCGGATACTCAAATGAGTGAGAGACGGAATGCGGTACGATTATCAAACGATGTATCCATTGAACAACAGCTTGAAGTCAGACGACACGGAGCCGCTGGGACCGCTACAAAGACGACCCACAGTCGGGACGACGACCGTCACTTGAGGGGGCTGTTTTCGACGACGGTACCGTCGTCGCGAGGGCCTCGGGAACCAGGCCAGCCTGCTAGTCAGCTGACCGAGCGGCCAGCCGGTCAGTCCGGCAGTCAGTCAGCTGGAGCGACAGACGGACGAGCGAACAGACGAAAGCTTTCCGGCGTAGCGATGGCCACACGAAAGAGCATCTAGTGCGACTTCGAGTTGTGGACAATGGGGCGAAGGCTCGCACACAACGCTCCGGAAACGCCAAAGTAGCTAATCTTTGTTCCAGGAGCGAATTAATGCGCGAGGAGAGGCAAGTAAAACTGAGGAGGAGCGATCGCGCTTTCGGATCTCCCGTGATTGCTCATTAAAATTACCACGATAGCGTACGATGCTAAACGCTGCTCTCAAGCCGCCGTACTAAATTCAGCGATCCGTTCGATCCGGGCGAAAGCTCACGATCACCGCCTACGACAAGAAGAATATCTGCCCGCGTAGACGGCCTTGTGTCATATCGTTACGTAACATTCGTATCGCGAAAGTCGCTCTGTCGAAGATTCAGGGAACGGTTCTTTCGGGCGGCGCAGCGGATTTGAACGACGAATAAAATTCAACCGTGATTTGAGTTCAGACATTTCGAAACGTGGCATGAGTCCTTAACATAAATGCTTCGAACCTCCGTCCACATGCTGCTGCTCCCTCAGCAGACTTCTCTATCCGATCATGTGGACTTCGGAAACGTACTCGCGAAAACTCAGGTGTTGAGTGATTCCCCGAAGTGAGGCAGCCGATGCCAGACGCGCGACCATCCACGATTTGATCAGCTAGGTGTCACGCGTAGCACCGGCGACTTATTTTTGCGAGCGAGAGATTTCATGGAGTTATCTAGCCGGCTGTAACAATCGGTAGGAGCAGAAATTCCTTCGTGATGATACGATGTCTCACAATCGCTCCGCGGATCAAAGTTTCGTCAAAAATGTCAACTCTCGGCAAGGATTCGACCCGGTCTTATTTGCTTCCCTGGAGCGTCGACACCGTCTTTCTCGTGGCTGATTATCCTGACCTGTGCCTACGATCCAATGACAGGCCGAAGTATTCAAGGAGAGCTTTCGATTTCTGCGATGATGCCAGTGACTTTCATCTTGAGCCATCCGGCGCTTTCAGTCTTCACTCGACTCGGACTGTTTCAGAAGCGCGAGCCAGGTCGTCTCACAATCTGTGGGATGAGTTTCTTCGCTAGGTGGAATCGCCTCTTCTGGGAGGGAGGGGAAAGGCGATTAAACAGAAGATTCTCGTAAGTCATGCTCGGATAGTTTTCCCTATTTACTCCAGCCGCGACCCACCGCACCCATATCTGGGTCACGACGGAAGGAGACCGATACCTTAGAAGCGGTTTTTCCACGTCAATGGAGCTGCGACAGAAGATATCAAGAGAGGTGGTCTTGATGGTGTGAGCAAATTTGTCAGGGACGTATAGACCCTTCCGATTCCTTTCGCTCATCTTTCATATATCCCCTTTCGAATTGAGCCTGTTCCCTTAAAGTTCTCCGGTTCCGCTCCCATTATCCCCTGGCCGGGCGAATAAGATTGAAAACATCACTTGATGTTTCCGAAGGCAGTCTGCCATCAACATAACCTGGAGTCCTTCAATTATTATTATCATTATCGGGGATATCCAGGGCATCATCGGCTCCGGGGTATTTCCGGAACGCTTTACGAGTGTCATCACTCATGACATGGTTCATGACCCGAAGGAATTTCAGGAGTGTATCAACCACGGCTACAGCTTCGAGCGCGAGAGTCCTCTCACCCAAAATTCCAATCTGAATTCGTCACGACCGGAAATTCTCGGCGACTCACGAAAGCTGGTTGCCGACATAGACAGAAATCGGAAGTTGCCCTCCTGAAGAGTAAGAAGGGATTTTACGCCCCCTGCCCCCGGTACGTCTTCTCTGGAATTCGATTCCTTCTTCCCGGGAAAAACTCGCGGTCGGCTCGCTTCAACTGAGGAGGAAGAGTTTGGAACCCTACAAACTGAAATTGCGGGGTAGAAATCTCCCCCGGTGAATCTCTTCCCCCTTAGAGCCGTCCACGGAACTATACTCGCACCGAGCAGTGAAAATCCATCTCCTTTTACACATCTCGAGCTATGAGGCATTGTTATTCGATCTGCATCGCTAAGGATCGATTCCGAGCGGTGTGGCGCATACAGCTGACGCTCCACGATCCACGACATCCCACCGTGGAACAGTGATCTCTTGACAAGCGAATCTTTGAATTTGAATTATTGCGCTGTTTCCCAACCTGTGCCGAGTATTATCGCGCCGCACACAGGTGTCGGGTCTGCGGCGAGCGACATGCTTGGCAGGGGCTTTCTCGAGCTCCAGAACGATGGCATCGATCCGCCTCGTGAGGATCAATCGGCGGAATGGGGATGATCGAGTCCGGAATTCTCGTGCCCCGAGCATAGGTTTAAGATCTCGTTGACGCCGCGCATGTCGCTCTACGCGGTCAACAGCGGCTCCCGCGATCTGTGTCTATGGTCGACTCTTTTTGGCGCAAGCCCCGTCGTGTGCGAACAACGTGGTAGTAGTGATTCGAGTCCGCACTCGCTTTATTCTCTAGTACTGTCATTGTGACGACAATCGCGAGCCATGTCAGAAATGCATGAAGAAGAGCAGACTTGTCGGATCGACGCGGTGGTTACCAAATACAAGACCGCCGGCGAGATCGTCAATCGTACCTTGGCTAAGGTAGTCGAAATGTGTAAGGCAGGAGCTGTTGTCCTCGACATCTGCGAGGCCGGTGACAAGATGCTGCTCGAAGAAACCGCTGGAATTTACAAGAAAGACAAAGAATTGCGGAAGGGCATTGCGTTCCCGACGTGCATTTGCGTCAACAATTGTATTTGCCATTTCTCCCCGTTGAAGAGTGAGAGCCCTGTCGTACTCAAGGATGGAGATGTGGTCAAAATCGATATGGGGGCTCACATCGATGGTTTCATCGCTGTTGTTGCGCATACGCTAGTCATCGGAGCATCGAAAGACAATAAGGTAAGAACATATGGTTCCTCTGGTGGTGCATGCCCGTGGGACTCGTTCGCGAGAGCCCATTGTCGAGGTACAGACATTCAACAAGTAGGAAAGTAACGAAGAATTTCGGAGATTCGTGGTACGAAACTCGATAATCTTAGTGCTCCAATCATTGCTCCGTTTTCCAAGTTTCTGGTAGCTGATTGATCGACGCCTCCGGTTGGGGTCGATGCTCCCGACAAGATCGTTCAATTTTTCGCTAGAACTTCTCGACCTCCATAGAGCGACTCGAGGGAGTCCGACCATATGGGGGGGAAAAAAAGCAAGTTCGGCACGCCATCCGATCTTTCGATCGCGCCCCGGAGTAAGCCTTCCAGACTGTCTGCAGAAATCTTCGGCGACAGCTTTGACGTTACCCATATCGGTCGAGACTTGCCGCTTCCTAAAGACTCCCGAAAGGCGATCGGCCGGTCAAGGAGGGGTATTCATGAGTCAGTAGGATAAATCTGTTACTGCTCCAGTGAACCTTCTCTCGGCGAACGGGGTCGAATCCGTTTCAAATCCTGACGTGTCCTTATTTTCAGGTTACGGGGAAAAAAGCCGATGTTATTCTCGCTGCCTACAAATCAATGGAAGCAGCTCTGAGGCTTGTGAAACCTGGGGGTCAGAACTCCAAGGTTACGGAAATAACTTCAAAGGTAAGGGGAGGATGATTCGTGCCATCGATTGTCAACCACGATTTTCAACCAGAGTTCCAATTGGAAGTCTTCTCCCAAGAATTCGTGTCGAATGTGATCCGAGCCTTCTCCTTCAGGTCTGCGAAGCTTATAAGTGCGCTCCGATCGAGGGCATGCTTTCTCACCAACTGAAGCAGCACGAAATTGACGGGGAAAAGTCCATAATCCAGAACCCGAACGAAGCTCAACGAAAGGAGCACAAAAAATGCACTTTTGACGAGTTTGAAGTTTACGCGTTAGACGTTCTGATCTCGAGCGGTGAAGGCAAGGGCCGAGAAACCGAATCGCGTTGCACCGTCTTCAAACGAACCCACGTTGTCTATCAGTTGAAAATGAAGGCTTCTCGAACATTTTTCTCTGAAGTCGAGAAGAAATCCTCGCACATGCCTTTCACTCTCCGCTCGTTCGAAGACGAAACTCGAGCTCGTCTGGGCGTCGGCGAGTGCGTCCAGCACGGGCTTCTGGATCCCTTCCAGGTTCTCTACGAGAAGGAAGGCGAGTTCGTTGCTCAGTTCAAAGCGACCCTCCTGCTGATGCCCAACGGATCTCATAAGATCACTGGTTTGCCTTTCGACCCATCGGTGTACCAAACTGAACATAAGATCGAAGATAAGGAGGTTCTCGAGGTTCTGAAGCAGAGCTACAGCGTTGGAAACAAAAAGAAGAAGCCGGCCAGCAAACCCGAAGACGCAGGTGACTCGAAAAAGTAAAGCTCGACCCAATCTATCGAGGCGACATGCAGAAGGGATTTTCGAAGGCTAGCTCGTCGCATCGGGCTCGACTGACCGTGCGTCACCGATAATTACCGGAAGGGTTGGTGAACGTCGAGGGTAGTCGGGGGAGAGGAACGAGAGATCGAACAAATCTCCCGCTCGTCGGACGAGGAAAATCCTAGCGAGAAAACCCTTCAAAGATTCCGAGAGTGTCTTCGCTTGCCGGTAGAACCGGAGGGATCCCTGTAGCTTCACACACAACTCGTTTTCAGTGTATAATAAAAGAGAATCGGTAATTTTTTGCGAAAACAAGCATATGTCGTCGTTCCTCGTTCCATTGGAGGGCCATCGGGATCTTTCGCTAGAGCAAACCGAGAACCGTTGTGCATGACTCGCAATCAATATCAAACTCCTCATTTATTGACATCGCAGAAGATCTCAAAGACCAATCAGCATAGACTCCTGCAGAGGAGGCTGACATTAGAAAATATACGTTCGCTCTTAAACTCTACGAAAACCTGCTCCTTGTGATTTTGGCCAGATCGGAGGTTGACTTATCACTGCAGCAAGCGCGCACTCCTCAGCAAATTGTATTTGGTTTTATTTTCCATCATCATTTATTTTCCACCTGCTCTGAATGCACTATCGCTCGGAAAAAATACATCGCATGAGTGAGTGAGTGGTTAGCGTTCCTGGCTCGCTATAGGGTTTTTGGGTTTCAATATCACGTTCAAAAGAAGAGCTCACGTTCCATCCGGGTCTTCCACAGACATCATTTCGAATCACTGGCGACAAGGGTAATGGACCCGAACCATATTCACACCACGCCCAAAGAAGAAAACGCACGCTACATAGGAAGAGTGTGATCGTACTCAACAATCGCTTGCTTCCTTCCAATCATCTGTTCGCTCGTTCCTGACATGGTCTCATTCCTACTACAAATCTGAGCTTTGCAATACCTACAACCCACTCTAATTTCCGGTTATCGGTCTTCCGCCTAGGTCACTAGGTAGCCTTCGGTCTCAGCGAATGTCTATATCACTACGCCTAACCCGAGTCGCCGAAAGTTCAAACGCTGTATACTCGGGACGAAACCCGATTTTCAGGTCATTTATTAGACCGATCGAAGATTGTTGATGATGAGGCGATCGGTATGCGCATCGAATCGCCGCGCGGTTCACCCGAGAATTATCTATGAGGCTCAGCTGGCTCTCCGTCGAAACAGACTCATCATCCTCTCAGATGAACGTCTACGTTTGCTCGAGCACGGCCCATACTTTCGCCGCCAGGTTTTTCGGCTAGTTCACCCCTGAAGATTGCCTGCAGAGCGAGATGGAATTCCGAGACCTCCGAGGAGAGATTGTGCCGCATCCCGAGCGGTAAGTCGCTTGATTCCTTTTCCTTTCACAATGAAGCTTCGCTTGAGCTGACTCATTTCCGCCAGTACTGCGCCCATTTGTGTATCGATTCCACTACAGAGGGCATGACAGCTGACGCCGAAGAATCGATGAGCCGCTGCATTTCGGAAACGGCCTCCTCGTCGGTCAGTTCGAGCATGAATTTGTCCTGAACTTTCTTCACTGTCTTATCGGGCTCCAGCGCGATGTCGGGAACGCTCGCATCGACCATGAGCGAGAAAAGATTGAGAATGAGGTTGGCGTGTCTTCTCAAGTGTAGCAACGTCGTGTAGCAGTGCTTCTTGAACTCGTTGTAAAGTTCCGAGCTCATACCACCCATCGCCTCCACCATTTCCCGACTCAGTTTCATGGGCGGAGGGAACGGTTTCGGGTCCCGACCAAGGATGTAACCGAAATCTATGTGGAATAGTTGTCCCTGTTTCGTCAACAGCAAGTTGTCCAAGTGCCGGTCTCCGACTCCGAGGAGATACGTGATGACGCCATAGCCCGCTGAAAGAACCGATTTTCTTTAAATCACGCGATCGGCCAGCCTCTCGATGACTGTGGTGTGAAATCTACCAAGAAATGTCCTCGACGAATGACATATGTTCTTGCGATACATGATACCTATGCTCGAGTAACTCTAGTCGGAAGGCGCTCGAAAAGTCTACGTACCGCAAGACTTGACGTAGTTGTCCATGACTTCCGGCGATATATCTTTTCCCGCGGAACAGGTTTTGAGATAGCTTTCAATTGTGCCGTACTCTCTCAGAACTTCCGCAACTGTTTTCGATTCGATGAACTCGACGAATCCGTGCCGTGGGGAGGTCGCCAGCACACAATATGGGGTCAATTGAAGATCGAGGTTCTCCCGGCGGAGTAACTGTGGAGGGAGAGAGGGACGCTTTTCATGAAGATCAGAGGAACCGAAAAAATGATTCTGCGGCAAATTCGAAAGCGGGAATGCAGCGTAATGAGTCACTCACCCGATCCATCAACGTTATTATTTGTAAAATCAATTGATCTTGTCGTAGATCATCTCCGTGTTTGAAGATTGCGTAGTATTCGTCTCCAGCCTCTGTGAGGAACGTCAGTTTACACGGCATCAATGCGCTCTTGAACAACTCGGCTTTCTTCGCCACGATTGATTTTACTCGAACTTTGGGGTTCAGCGGCAGTGCTAGACTCTCAGGAAGCATTGCTTTCATGTTCTCGGCATCTGACAGCAGGAGCTGAAGTTTCTCAATCTGGAAAATGGACGGGATCTAATAGGACCACAGCTGGATCGAGAAGGGAATTCCTGTCTTATGAAATTCGAGTCCCGTGAGGCACTGGGAATGTCGTTCCCTCGAGGAGACCGCTACCGCGCGGACAGGGGCTGCACGAACCTTCTTCTGACGATTGCCGTTCTCGGCGGCAACGGTCTTCATGAGATCGACGAGGTGCTTCACGAAGGTATCTTGTTTTGCGAGCATCCGACGACGCAGATCCTGCTCGCGGTTGCCGTCCTTAAGGCACTTTAAGAGTCTCCGGCTGACCTCGGCGTACATGTTCGCATGACTCAGGTTCCTACAATTACAAGGGCCGTCATCAGCTCCGAAGTGATAGGGCCAGCAGCGGAAGGAAATCCGGGCATATCCCGGACATAATGAAAGTACACTCACGTATTTCCTTTTCGATTGGCATTCTGAGTATTCGCTCCTCCGGAACTCCCGTCGCTCTCCACCTTCAAATACCAATAGAGATAGTTTGCGAGCACGTCACTCCGACTAGCTCTCTTTATCAAGAAACTCGCAAGGTCTCGATTATCCTCTAGTGGCGCAGTAAGGAGCGAGGTGCTCTCGTGGACGGACAATTTTTCCTTTTCTTCTTCTGTCGCGCTTCCGATCGAAGACTCAATGCTCTGTTGGCTCTCGGTCAGCTCCCCAGGACTCGCAATCCTGGAATCGCGGGATTTTCTTTCTTTCATCTCGACTTCTTAAAACTTGGACTAGAAGGTATTTCCTCTTGATACGATCATTGACCAATGAGTCTGAGCCTCGTGTGCCGGACACTCACTGAGGCTGATCTTGTTCCGATGGCGTGGTCGAGGAAGTGACCGACGACGCTGTGAACGTAGAAGTTGAAGTCATGGAAGCCGAATCCAGGGGAGGCTCGTACTTCAAAGCTTGCACCAATTGCAGAAGGTAAAGCAGGAGATCTTCGTCTGAGGCTTGTTCAAGTCTTGTGACCGCGTACCGCCGCACGGCTTTATGTTTGAATTGAGGTCCTAGAAATCGAGATGGGGTAGGTGAGCTCGCTCGATTGGACGATCTCCGCACCTAGAAGAACACTCGTTGCATCGAGCAACCATGTCTTCGGAATCCCAACCTAAGAGTTCCAGAGCGTCTTCGACGTCCATCGGCTCCCATTGCCGCATAAGGTCCAAGGCTTGCAGCGTTTCCACTTCGGCGTCCCATTTGACGCAATGAACGAATCGGGCCATAGCTTTCTTCTGATCCTTCAGATAAAAGCTGAGAATGGAAGAAATAAACTCGTTGTGAGAGACTGTCGAAATGTGAATTGATACCTTTTTCTGTACAAGGCGATCCGTTGCGTCGTCAGTTCGATTGACCCCGAGATATCTCACCGGTACTTCCAGACGAGATCTTGCTCCTCCGCGGTCAATGGTGTCGTAGAACATTTGCTAACAATATTATTCAGTTGATCTCTAGTATGCGCGTTCGGTTTCAGGTCCTTGGCGATACGTTCCGTCCGGATATTTCGAGAGAGTTTGTGATGCTTGTCTTCGACAAGATTCTCCTAGAATTGATCAAACCTCCTCGATTAGTCCCTCCCGATCCGAGCTGAGAGGTTTGGGAGGAGGATATACTCGTTTAAAGAAAAGAGGACGATCCCATGATCGTACCAGCCATACATCCGGATCAAACATAGGGGCTAAACTGGAGTCGCTGTTCGTCTGGCATGCCACGTCCAGGTCTTTCTCGAAATAGACGACCATATGTTCGATATCACGGTAAACGACTCTCGGGAACTCGATCATGAGGAACATCTGAAAATATAAACATTATGGATACGTCTATCTAATGAATAATCAGATCAGGAACGATCTATCGATAATCGCCGAAAGCTCCGAGCCCTAAGTCTATCACTGCCACCGCTCGGAGCTCGCATTATACAATCGAAGTCGATCCCCACTAACACATATGCATTTGTGCTCGAGGGACTGCAAAAAAACGAAGGAAGCTCACCTGATTTGATTTCTTCTTCTCATCGTTGTTGCGAAATGTAATTTCTTTGAAGGTCAATCGGTCCATCCAGTCAACTCTAGGCATCTCCCCGATGTGGTGCTTCTTCGTCAACTGCAGGAAAAGGTCATTTTAAATTCGTTCCGGATCAATGACGACGGAGATTCGCGTGCAACATAATGTTGGAAATCATTTCTTGCGTTCCAGAAAAAAATTTTCACGCTTCGCGTCGGTCACCTTCGGATAACATGTACGATCGTCTCACCTTGGTCAGTCTGGCCATTTCATCGTGAGCGCCCGAGATTTTCCCCGGCGTGGAGCTGAAGTTCGATCCATCCGCCTTCGAGTTTTCCCACAGCTTCAAGTCATGCATGCCCTGTCGCATGGCTCCTGAAAAGTATAATCAATGCATCCGTGAAGACTGGGCTCGCGAGTCTCGAGAATAATCCGTCGGAAACGCCCTCGCTGTGCGTTTACTTCCGTACCCGATTTCTTGAAGATTGACACCGTCGTTCCCCCAACGGGAACGGCCTTCTTGTGTCCGTGGAGATCCCAGACGGTGAAGGCCAAGATCCCATCTCGGGGCAGGTCGGAGAACTTGAGGGGCAGCGTCAGCCACTCGTTCCAGCTGAAAAGAGGGTCATCAGCTAATCTGGTCGAGACAGAGATCCCGACAGTGATGCGAACCTCGGACTCAATCGATGGCTTGATGCTCACTTGTATCTTGTGGTGAAAGGTTTGTACGATGTTTGGGTCGGCAGAGCGAGACTTCTCCCATCAGAAAAAATTTCCACCGTGACAACAAGGTCTGACAGCAGACCTTTGTTGTCCGCAGGGGTGGAGAGCTGATTCCTCCGCAAGATTGGGTCCGTAATTATGTCCTGATATTGAGGTTGAGGTCTTTCTCCTTCCAACGTACCACTGGAAAGAAAAGGTGGTCAAAGCAAGGGCTCGTGCAGGGATCGGCTCTGCTCGATTTCAATTCGGCCGTTGCGACAGTCTCATCCAATAGCTTCCCCGTACACAGAGTGACGTATTGACTCGAAATAGCAGCCCGTTGCCTATCGGTATTCATGGAGATGCCGCGAATGCGACACGTACTCACGCTCGGTCGGAAACAGGACTCGCACGCAATATCGACAGTTTTATCAACAATTTCATCGACGAACGTTGCGTTATAAACTTCATAAAGATTTTTCGGCAAGCTAGAATCCGGGCCATACCGCCACCCTGATTCCAATCACCTGACTTGTGACAGCTGTCTACCGAATGTATCATCTTTCCCAATACAAAGGCATAATCAGGGAGCCCTTATGCTTCGGAGGGAAAGCTGTTGCACATATGATTCCACGTTTTGACGGTCACACCTCGGCAGACTCCATGATTCCTTGGCGAGTGGTACTGATAAGACGCCATGAACGGTTTTCGGTGATCGTGCCGGAACATCTCACAATCAATGTCTTTGGGCCTAGAGTCTCCTTCACAAGATCGAGTCGTTCGAGAACTTGCATAGAAATTCAGAGGTTCGAATCCTCTCATTTTAGAAGCTTACGGCTCGAAGGCCTCGCGGAGGTGGCAAGGCACGCATTTGAGACGAGTATGAAAGGAATATGACAAATCTTTCTCAGTCAGCATTCTCGTGTTGGCAATGACGGCACCAGATCGAAACTAGAGCTTTCGTCGCCGTCAAGGGAATCGTAGGCCACGAATTTTCGCGGTTGCGAGTCGCCCCTCATCGGATGGACTCAAGGGGAACACTGAACGGCTCTCAAGGGATACTCACACTTTAATTTTGAAACAGGCGTCGAGATCCGAAGAGTATACATGTCTCAACAGCTGACTAGTTTGCTCTCCGTCGAGCAGGTTCATATCACCCCAAGGGGTTGCAATTGAATCGCAGTCAATGAGTCGATGGTAGGAATCTATCCGTACCAGAAGACAGATCACAGCACCGCCACCTTTCTAATAGGGGAGACGTTGGAGGTTCGGAAAACAACAATAACACTTCTATCATACACTGCACACACCACCACCACCAACAATAGGTCACGGTCAGGTGGCCAAAAGAAGATGGTGGACCAGCAGACGACGGAAAGCGAAGGGAGAGGGGACGACTTGAAAATGGCGCGACGGACGGCCGCCAAATTGGAAGTCCTCGCCGCGTTAGGATGGCGCGAATCGCGACTCGGCCGTTACGAGGTCGTCGAATCCTTCAAGTCATTATTCTCATCGGCCCCTTAATGCATGAGTCGCATCTCGAGGATCTTTCGTATGGACGTCGGTCGGTCATACACATGGTACCAGTCACTCCCATACTCCGTGAAATCGGGCGAGTAACCCCGCCAAGCCGCGGGGAAAATCATCGTGATCTAGGCAGAGTTGCGGTTGAGTTCCTGAAATGGCGGGAACTACGTGATTCCGTCGGAGTCGTGGCAAAGCTCGGAATGTGGTCGAAGTTTGGGGGAAAATTGGCTCCTCAGGACAACCGTGTTCGGCGAGCTATTGCCTCGTAGCAGATCCTGATTCAGCTCTACTATTCCCAAAACCGGGGCCACACTTGAACAATCTAGAAATAAGGAAATCGCGTAATGCGCGATCTCCTTACGAGCCCACTGATCACCAACGTTGTCAGCGCATTCGACTGATCGTTGATAGGAAATATATTATAGAAGAGGGCTGATACGTTGGGGTGAAGCATGCCGCAAGCTGCGATCATCGTGCGACGCGGATCGTCCAACCGGCTTCCTGACCCCATGTCCCTTCCCTGCTGCAAGAACAAGCTTATCTGTGTGTGCCAGATTCCTTCCGGAAAGTCGCGTCTGGTGAGCCTTTCTTGCTCGCTATTGTCATGTCTCAAGGGACATGCTCAAGCGGAAGCTTGGAACAATACAAGGGAAGAATTCAACCTAGTATCCCCTAGGTCATTGGAAGCGGCTCGAATCGACGAAAGGGAGGAACAGTTCCAGGTAGGACCAATGGTCCGTGTTCGACGACCCACATGCCGTTCGTACCGCTGTATGGCGACCATATCGTTTCAGGCTGTCCAATTGAAGGGACCGGAACCCTCATCGGCCAAGATTCCGTCGAAAGAGACCTCTTGTAGGGAAATCCAGACTCCGGGTCCCTTGTCAGAGTAAACATCGTTAATTGTAGGAAGCATGTCCTATCATGTCCTCAGACAGGAAGGAACGGGAGGATTGCAGGGACAGCTCTTTGTCGCGTTGCCGAATGTTTACTGTAGTCTCTTCAACTACGGCATCTCTGATGAAGCGCACGTACAGTTTGTACGGCTTGAAAAGAAAACATCCTGAGGCTCGATGAGGCTTGTTGTTCCTACAGGGATCATCCCCTGAAGCAGTAACCTTCCGTCTGGTATACACGATTCCGACAACTCCTCGTGCCCATTGAGAGCCCATGAATCTAGGAGGAGCAGAACTCCGGTATTCTCGGCCACATGACGTCCTGGTAGAATCGCCGTGGGTCTCCCTCGTTTATATCGGCGGGTGTGCCCGCGGAGGACACGATTTTCACAGGATCCGGAGTCGTGGATTTTGGAAATGTCCATTTCGATTCAGATTTCGAGATCGGAAATCCCGCTTCATATTGCACGCTAATGCGCAGCTCTTTCACCATCGTTCCCGCTGGGCCGAGCGATTGGGGCATGAAGACGATACCTTTCCAACCTCAATTCTCGATGATCTGATGATTCATTTGCAAGGGCTCCAGCAGCATTGCTCCGAACGGATTCTGATCGCGATTCTCTCTGCGAAGCGGTCTTATGCACCAGAGACCCCTCTCGCTCAGATAATAATTGTTGTGATTGAGGATTCAGTTCAGATGGAGCCAGAGGAAAGACGAGCTCTGTTCTCTACCGGATGACTACATCAGCTGATCACTCCTTTCATACCTGAAGATTATGCTTCTGCCAACAATAATATTGTTCACGATCAGGAATGACTACGATTTTATCAAGAAATCAGACGAACCTTTGCAGTGCCGTGTGCCGCTAGATCCGCTTAAGTTAGGAATAAATCGCTCTTTACGGACGAATGACCACCCTTGACAGCCGAATAATGCTCGCGGATACTGGCTCTGATGTGATGAGTATATACGTATCATTGTCCATCACGAATTACTTGGCGTTCCAACAGACTCGTACACTCGTAGCACGATCCGCGCCGAGATGTTTCGGCGGTCGTGGAGTCATCAATCGTGAAATCTTAGGAGAAACTAAGTATTCATGTGGTTAAGCAGCGGTGCACAGGCTCCGTGAATCATGCGTTCGAAGATCACTGCCGTGGCTGCCTTGGTCCCGCTCGCCGGAGTCGGGCGCGAGCTCTTCTCATAGACAGCCCCGCTCACCACATAATCGTCTGTTTTGCGCGTTGGGATACGACCGGAGCTAGGCACCGCCACGTAACGTCCGCCTACCACTCTCGAATCTGGTACTACAGGGACTATGCTCTTTATGTGTGTACACCGACGTGTCGTCAGGTGCGCCTGAAAGGGTAGGTACAACGTCGCGGTTGCTTCAAAAGATCTTTATGGCTTACGACAGACGCAGGCAGGGTCCGAGGGCGAGTGACAGCCAAACGGAGCGATTGAGCAACAGCCGCCATTACTGCACTTCGTTGCGGGCTCAAACACGCAAACACTCGCCGAATGACACAACGTATGCTTGGCCTTACGTTCGCTCAACTACCGTGAGCTCCGTGGCTCACTCCGACGATGTTTCGCGTTTTTTCTCTTTGAACGTCACCGGTTAGCGGTGCGACGTCTGCGAGATGGAGCAAAAGTGAACTCTAAACGAGAAGTCTGAAAAGTTCCGAAATCGTTGGAAGGGGTGATAAACCAGCGCAGAGCAATAATCCCCACCGAGGATTCGATAAATTGGCGATTAGCAGAGGCGATGAGCTGAACAATATGTCGAATTACGGGACTCGTTCCGACTGACGGATTTCGACGATCAGGAAAATCATAAGCTCATATATTTGCAATCAGAAGCGGGAGGGAATTCACACGCCATACGGCTCGCATCCCGTCTCTCTCTGGGGCCGCTCGCTCGAAGAATGATCCCTCAGGACTGACTTAGGACCGAACCGACGACCAATGCTCTAAGACGAACCGAACGAAAAACTTTTCTCTTTAATGATCAATCAACCGATGGAAAGGATCGTTCTACGTGCATTGCCCGGTGACGAACTGAGCGATGATCGATTCTGAAAGTCGACTCGGTTCTGGTTACAATGGCGCTACTCCTCGAGACCCTCAATGGAAGTTGGTTTCGATCTGATTACCTACTTGAGAACGCGAACATCGCCGACGACGCATTCGACTGTTCCGGTGCTTCTGTGAACTTCTCTTCTGTTCTGCAGGCGTCTGCTTCAGACTACCCCTTGCATTGCTTGCCGAGTTTGATGGGGGTTGTAGCTTGTGGATCACGTGGAGCTCTCAATATGGACAGTGGCTCTCAGTCTTGCAGAGAACGGCCCTTGCCATTCGGACTTTCGCGGGAAAACCAGCGCGGGCGACGCCGCAGCCGACCACCCTGCGATCTTGAGCCCAATGGGTGACTATTTAGGAGTTGACATAGGGAACACGATTCCAACGAGACTAGCTGATGAAGAGCCTGCTCGACGATCGAACTGCCCCGATCGAGCTGGTTCGTCCGCGGGAGCTCATTTTCGCTGACGATCGGACCTGTGAGCCGAGATTTTTCTTGATCCGTTTGCCGGGTCAAGCGACAGGGAGCGCCCCGGAGTTCGAGGAGCCAAGCAAGCGAAACTGTCCTTATAACGATCCGGAAGGTGGAACACGAGCGCGAGGAATCCGGCGACACGTCGAAGTCAATGTTCAACAATTTACCACCAATGAACGGATCCACCACCAACGAAGGGTCGTCTCGGTCAGAGAGGATCTCAACCTTCTCTCCGGGGGCGATGCAGGATCGGGTAGAGAACGGTGGTCTCTTGAAGGCTCGGGATCGCGGCATGTCGCGGCCTTGCAGCCGGAACGTTCCACTGCAATCTCTGGCTCCCGTGGGGCATCTGTGGCAGATATCTCCAGTCTGGCGTCCGAGAGCCAACAGTCTGCGGATGTTATCCTCCATGCCTATGTATGATGATAACATGAGTCGTCCTACCATAGAAATTTATTCCAGGAGTCTCGCTAGGCAGGCGGACCAATCACGTCAGGTCACTTTCCAGGGGGTCAACACACCGCTGAGAGTCGAGATCCAGAACCAGTATTGCACATTGACACTTCCGGCAACGAAGTCATAGCCCATACATAGATCGCTCATCATCCACAGCTTCATTTCATTCAAAGTATCACTACAGGAATTGTTGGCGAAGTTTGGGCGATGCGGTGAGGCAGCCTCTCAAGAGCAGAGAGCTGACCACTGCTTTTCGCATACTGAAGTTGAGTCGGTGCTCTCTGCAGGGCAGGGAACCGTGCCGAACGAGAATGAGCTACAGGCATGAGTAATATTCCCTTTACAGCATAATCTAAACCGAGAATAACCTACAGCGAGCTCCGATTACCGAGCATGCTCTATTTGACGATCCAAACATGGACTACACACCGTTATGCAACGGGAAGTCAACGGATGCAACCTCAGCGAGGTGTCGAACGAGAAATACATGGACGAGTTTCCCATCCCTCATGACCCCCTGACACTTCGATTCCTTTCCTCAGAGTCCCAGCTGCTCGGTCATCCAGTCCATACGGGCATGCTCCTATGTATCAACGGGCACTTCGATTGGACAGGCGCCCACCTGGGGGCTCCGAACGATTGGGGCAGCCTGTCTTATTGGAGGGAATACGATCGTAGAATCCCGATAATTCACCTACTCGAATACTTCCGAGTGATGGCGCCCCTGGAGCAGCGCTTTGAGGATGTCTTTCCGTTAAAGGTTCGCGACCTTCTTGCTGCAAATCGAAAGAGGGTAATAAGCTCTCGCACCTTTGCGTGTTTCAGCTTCGTGAATCCATCCCCTCG